TTATATACCCACTCCTCACTTACCTACATGGTTAGGTACCAAAGACCAGATGGTGCAAAAATTGCTGTTAGGCAAAAAATGGAGGATGACTAAAAACCAGAGAAGTGTGATCCTGCCAAGTTGACACATTACCTTAATGGTCATATCCAGCATTACTTTCCCCTCGTAGTGGTTACGAATAGGGCTGTGAACCGCAAAGTCAGCAGTTCGAAACTACCAGCTGTTCCGTGGGAGAAAGATGAGGCTTTCTGCTCCCGTAAAGATTTACAGCCTCAGAAATCCTGTACAGGGTCGCTATGAGTTGGAACCGACTCCACGGCACATAACAACACACCAGAGGAAGGTTGTTAACGTGCAGAACAGTCAGATATTTTTTACTATTGTCGTAAATTAAAATCTCACATGCGATAGTAGATAAGCGTGTATACACTTGCTATTGCAGAATAGAGACTTTTGCCCATATTTCAAAAATAAAAACTTAGGTTCATCTGACAATGTCACAAATATAGTACAAAATTCTTGAGAACTGACTTTGCAACACATTTATTTACACAAGAGTTGTCAATCGGTAACAAACTGAAAAGCAGCCTAGTGCAGGAAGTTACCTCCCTTTACTGGGTCAAAATTTCAGAAAACTCATCCTGCACCTCGGGTAATAATCTCATCAGACTGAACTCCTGATTCTTTTGTATATTTTGAAGAAAATAATGGTATCTATATAGTCAATATAAATTACTGTATTTGAAATGTGTTCCCTTACCAATTGGTGCTCTCTAGGGGGCAGTCTAGTAGTAAAAAATGCTACATACAGCAGGTGTGGAAGCTAAAATGATGAGAAAGTAGAGGTACAAACAGGAGTACCTCAGTCTAAGGTAAATCTTCCCAGTTGCCAGTAATGTTCACCAAACACACCCCACCCCATACTAGTCGGTTACATGGACCAAAAAATACAAATATTTATGTTGGAAGTGGTCTGTTAGGAAGGTAGGAGGCCTCAGGGCAAGAACAGTGGTAGGAGAGTAAAGAGATTTCCAAGGAACTGACAAAATTCTATTTTAGTAGTGGTGTTGTTATCGGGGTGCAGGGGCACCCAACCCTTCAATGGAGGGTCCTTTGCTGACCAAGAATGATGAGGGTAGACAGAGTTTCACACAACTAAAAGATTTAAAGATTTATTGAGAGGAAAACATCTGGCCAGAGGAGATGAGGGCAACACTAACTCGTCTCCTAGAACATAGACTTTGTTGTTAAATGCCATCGAGTCAATTCCAACCCATAGCGACCCTCCATAGGGTTTTCAAGGAGAAGCTGGTGAACTTGAACCACCAACCTTACAGTTCAAACTGACTTTGCAGTGTGAGACATTAGTCCACAGTGCCACCCCAGGACTCCACCTTGCTGGGGTTTAAAAGGTTTTAGGTGGGAAAAGGAATCCTTTATTCACAGGGATAGGCAGCGATTTCCAGGAAGTGGCCCTCTTCAGAAGGGCCATGCTGATTGCGTTCCTGTGCAGCATTTCTTCCAAGATGGATTCCATTTCAACAGTCTCTGACAAGGGGAGACAAAACTTCTGGGATGTCAAGCATGTGTAGTTCTTCAGGGCTCCAATTCAAAATGCTTCCAGGGGCACGTGGTCTTCTCTGCCCCAGCAGAGGTAGTCCATTAAAGTTATGCCTAGGGCACTGGGTAAACCAGTCCAGCCTATAAAACATCTTGTTGTTGTAGTTGTGGAGTCGGTTTCGACTCATAGCAACCCTGTACGGAGTTTCCGAGGCTGTAAATCTTTACGGGAGCAGAAAGCCTCACCTTTCTTCCGCAGAACAGCTGGTAGTTTCGAACTGCTGACCTTGCGGTTCGCAGCCCGATTCGTATCCGCTACGCTACCAGAGCTCCTTATAAAACATCTTACAAGGAAGTCAAAAAATGTAGTTTTATGGGTGGTCTTCCTTAATGGACCTGAGCTTGTCCTACACATTTTCACCATTACTCAAGTGAGTAGGGAGCACAGGCCTCAACATTCTTCAAGGTTTTAGTGCACATTTAATTCTGATTTTTGAGACCTCTCTTCTCCCTGCCTCATTCACAGGGGACTTGACTTCATAGTCATTCTTTAGTCTTTTGTGTCCCTGGGCAGAACAAAAGGTTGGCTATTCAAACCTACCCAGTGGTGGTGCCTCCAAAAACAGGCCTGGAAACCTGCTTCCAAAAAAACATTTCCTTGAAAACCCTACTAACACTGGACAGTGAACCAGAGGGCTGGCGGTTCAACCCCACCAACCTCTCCTTGGAACCTCTACCTATACAGACTTTCTATGAATTGGAACCTACTCAAGGGCACTTAACTACAACATATGAGAGGGCTTCAAAAGTCTGTGAAAAAATTCTGTTATCTTTTCATCGCATTTTTTGAAGCCCCTGCAAACTTTTGAATGAAAATTTCACAATCAAAACAAATATTTTAGATAAAATTGTAATGTGTTATCTGTATATACACTCAGCTAGGGTTTTTCTTCCTCATAGTTAAAAAAAGGCACAGGGAAAAATGACATGTAGGAACAAATCTGCCCCACCCAAACCTAGAAAAAAAAAATCATGTTTTGGTCATGGAGTCCGGTGTACGTACCTGCAAAGGAAGTTCATCCCCATTCCCATGACCTCATTTTCTCCAAAACATTATCATAAATAAAAACACACAAGTACCAAGTAGCAACTGAAGTTTTTAATGAAAATGATTTGCCATTCCAGAAACCATTTTAGGGGGGAAAAAAATCTTCCCTATAAAAATAAAATTAAACTCCTCAAAAATTATAAATATTATAATTTTACTTCTGTAATTTAAAATGCTGCCCTGCAGTACTACCCCTTCATTTAACATTTCCTGTACCATATATATTGAAAACAGTGTTCCAGCAAAGCTTACATAGTTTAACATGAGAATTAACAAAATGATGATGGTTCAACATTTTCTCTTTGGCCTCCATGCTCCAATTCTTCTTTTAAACATTAAAAAAAAAATGCTGTGATAATAACCAGTGTTTGGGAGAGAACACTAATCTTGTGAAGATCTGTGGACTGACAGGATTTTAATACAGTAAACTTTCCAAATCACAACTTGTAGTGCACATGACACTGAGCGAGGTTCTGGATAACACAGATGCGGGTGGTGCCTATGAAGACAATCTACTTCAAGTAAAAACAAAACGAAAAAAATTCACAGATCCCCATCTGCTATGACTTTAGGTTTCTAACAGTGTCTTAATCTGAGAAAGAAATGCTTCCCAACATATAAGCTTACATTTGAGCTGTGATAGGTAATTAAAAAACACCAGGTGGTTGATAACAGAATACTCAAACTCAAGTCTTAGCTTGAACAGTAAAACCAGGATTAAAAGTCATGAAAGCATTCCCTGAACAATAAAGGTAACGGTGTTTGAGGACATGTCACTAAAACCTCATCAATGCATTAAAAAGTTACATGCAAAATTAAACAAGATGTGCCATATATATTTTATAGCTAGATCTACTTTTTTTTTTTTTGTCTTTAAAGTTTCCTTAGAAGCTTAGGAAGATATGATTGTCTCAGTCATTTTGTGGCACAGAAGAGCCGACACTCAAATCTGTCTCCAGCAAGATGGGCATTCTTTGAAGAGTCTCAACAGTCACCCAGAGGGACAGATATGCAGAAAAAGGCACAGTTCACTTCAGAGGCAAGGTACTGAAGCACCTTGGAATTTCAAAAAGAATCCATTAGGTGTCACCAAAGTGTTAACAATTCCTTGAGAATTCATAAACACAAAATACCTAGACTCAGAATAGATGGCCAGGCCTCTGTGTAACAACACAACTTTCCCATTGTTCTCAGATAACCACTGCATAAAAATGAGATTTTTTTTTTTAACCTGATTTAAGAAAGGCTTTTATTATTGCACAAGCATTTCTTTGGTTGGTAGGACCATGCACTTTTGCTAAAATAAATATTTCCGTTCAAAATAAAACTCTATTGTGTGGTCAGTTGGGTACACATACTTTCTTGCTACCTCCTACTCACGGTCGAGTTGTCCTTTTCAACTGAGGATTTGGAAATGGATTGGGTTTTTAATCAATATTCCTATTGTACACATAATGTTTGATTTATAAAAAGAAAGGGAGAAATAAAGGAAGGAAAAAAGAGAGAAGGGAATGGGGAGAAATAGAAAAAGGAAAAGGAAGACTAGAAGGAAGAGGAGGGGAGATTAGAGGGAGGAAGAAAGGAGCAACTGCTACATAGGCCCTATGTAGAGTCTGCAACCTGATAAACCTCCTAGCTGACAGTCCAAGGAACGACAACTGCCTCCCTCAAGTCCCCTTCTAGCCATGAGAATCACCCTGGGAAAGCTGCAGCCTCAGAAACCACCCCAACTGCCCAGAGAAGCCACACCAACTATACCTTCCATTGCAGGAGATCAGTCTCGGGCGGTGCCCGTTTGTCCTTCTCTGTCAGCTCTGGAGTTCACGGCCCCCTCCTTTGCTTTACTCATACCTTCTTGATTATGACCATCCCACATTTACCCACCAGGAATCAAATAATCCGAAAATGGGCTTAACATCTCAAAACCGAATATTCTTTAACTAGTTTACAAATACCTCAAACCTTCCTCTACCACAAACTAAATATTATCCAAACCATCTTCCCCAGCCCTCAGAGCTCTCTACCTCCGACTCATGCCTTCTACCAAACTTGCTCTTTGTCCTTTCTAGGTCAGATGCCTAAAAACCCTTCACAAACTCCATATTGTTCCTGGCTTCCTGTGCCTTTCAATTCACAGGGATAGTTTCCTTTGACATTTAAAAAAAAAAGACAGGTAGTTTCAACATAAAACAAGTATTCAGATTCCTTGTTAAGCTTTTTAAGAAATCATTTGCACATCCTTAAGCTTAACATCATCATCATTAACAACATCACCATATAATTAAAATAGCTAAAAAGACAAAAATAAGATGATCTAGAGTTCATGCTAGGAAGCATTCTAGACCGCTGCCTGAAGAACCCTCCAGATTCACAGCTTGGCGAGAGGTAACATTGCAGTGCTGAAAGTAACAGAACAAGCTTGCAGGGTCCCTTACACAGGCTGCTGAAGGTGAAGGATGTTATGTGAGAACTAAATCTGGAGATTATAAAAGCGGGGAGACCCTCGCATCACAGGGCAAGAAAACCGCCCGAGGAAAAGAGACACTTGTTGCTGTTTTGTACGTGGGTTGAGCCCGCACTGTTCCCGAGTGGCTGAGCATCACTGCTTTAATCAGGTTTCCACACCTCACTGAGAGCTGCTTCAAGCTTGTGCCTGTAGGCTGTGTAGCGCTTCTTCAGGTTCTGAAGCTGCTCGTCTTCTTCCTTGTCCAAAATGCGTAAGAAATTCTGTAGTTCTGGGAGGCTGAAGGCTTCCCACTATGAGAGAACACACACACAAAAATGACCAGGTACTTAAATCAGAGTCAGAACTCCCTCTACTCATAGCCCGTTGCCTCAGAAGCGGTTTACGTGAGCCTGTTACCAGCTATCCAGTGCCTCTTCTACTCCCACCTGCTTGAGAGTTAAAAATCTGATGGGTTTTTGCACTTGTGAATGACTCCAGCCAGGCTTAGTTCCCAAGTTTGTGTTGAGATGCCAATTTTCCTTGAGTAACTCATGCACCTTTGAAGGCCAAACTACCCAAGTGTATTTGAAAGTGGGCTTTGGGTCACCTCCCCCAGCCAGCACAGGGAGAACAGAAACTCCCTCACAGAAGCTCTAATGTCTGCAGGGGTCACCTGGTTGTGACATCATACCTTGAGAGCCTCAGAGATCATCTACAGGCGTAACTATTTTACAACAGTTCCCTCCCTGCTTCCCTAGGCCTGGCATGTGTACATGACTCACTGCTGCCACCAGCTGCAGTTGTGGAAGGAGACTCCTTTGTTCTCTGTACCCTATAAAGTCACCATGAGGAAGCAGAATTTGGATTTCATCATAGTGTCATATTGATCATTTCCCTCACCCGGGTGATCCATGTTTGTTTTGTCTTGTTTTTACTCTTAACTAAGACTTAATAGTCTCTCAAATATTTATATACTTGAGGATGGGGTTTCCTTTCTCTCTTGTAACACACCTCAGCTCACTCCAGCTAGTCTACACATCCCATCTTCCTCCAGAATGGCTGTCACTAAGGCCACAAACTTCTGAGTCCCTAATGCCATTAGACACTTCCACACCTTACCTGATTGGACCCCTGGAAGCAGTAGAAGCAAGTCGCCACTTCCCTATCTTAAAAACATTCTCTTTCTTCTACTTGGAGTCACCATTGATACCTTCTTTGTCACATCCCACAATCAATCTACTACTGCCAAGTCAATTCTGACTCATGGCAACCCCTGATGGGCCGGAGTAGAACCGAACAGCATCGGTTTTCAATGGCTGAATTTTGGGAAGCAGACTGCCAAGTCTTTCTTCCAAAGCACCTCTGGACATATGCAAACCTCCAACCTTCATTTGGCTGTTGAACTGTTTGCACCACACAGGGACACAATCAATCTCATCACTTCCTAAGCAGTTCTCTGGAGTGTTAACCTCAAGGCTGAAGTTTAAAATCTACTAGACACTCCTTGGAAACCCTCTGGTGGTGGTGGTTGTATACTGTGGAGTTGGTTCCGAGACTGTAAGTAGATTTAAACTGCAGACCTAGCAGTTAACAGCCCAATATATAACCTACACTATGTTACCAGGGCTCCTTTGGAAAACCTATATGGGGTCACTGTGAGTTGTAATGGACTAGACAGCACTTCACAACAACAAGCAATTCAATGGACTTTTCTTCACGCCTTCTTCCCCCTAGTGGTAGCCACTCTCCTATGATTGTTCCTGGACCTCTGTGACAGCCACTTGTCGGGACCTCCCCATTTTATTTTCACACATGGTGGTGGTGGTGGTGCTTATGTGCCGTGGACCCTGGATAGGGTTTCCAAGATTACTTTTTTATTGGAGCAGAGCGGCTGGTAGATTCAAACTGTTGACCTTGCAGTTAGCAGCCCAATTTGTAACCCACTGCATTACCAGAGTTAAGTTCTTCAGAGTAAAGACATTGTAAAATATCTTCTTCCTCCCACAGCCAAACAACTATGGGAAATTCTTTCCCCAAGTTGTTAGCCTTAAATAATGGAGAAATAAGAAACACCATGCAGAGGTCCAATAAAGCAGCCTGGAACTTAAAAATACAATGTAAAGTTCAAACTAAGCACACATAATTCCTTCCCAGATCAAGGTGTTATTGTTAAGTGCAGTCAACTTGCTCTGACTCATAGAGACTCAGCATAGGGTTTCTGAGGAGCAGCTGGTGAATTTGAATCACTGGCCTTGCAGTTCAAACCGACCTTGTGGTTCAGTGCTTATCCTACAGCATCATACCCGGAGACTCCCCCAGCTCAAGTAGCTACCTAAAACATGTGGAGCAATACTTAAAAGACAGATGTGTCTGGTTTAAGCTTTCAGAGGAAAGATGGCCAAACACCAAAATGCAAAGGCAAATTTGACTTCCACACCCAGCTTTCTCCTCAAAATGAGTTGGAACTTTGTAAGTTTCAAAACATCAGCATCAAAAGAAACTTCAAAAATGTCCTCCTAAATAAGAAACACAGGGAGAAAGTGGCATAAATGATGTTAGACTGTGGGGATTGTGATCAATGGGATGAAATATAATGTGGATGGATTGTTAGATGTAAAACTTGATAGACAACCTGCTCCGTACCTTTGCCCAGTTCACAATAAAAAGTAAAAAAAAAGGTCTTACAAAAACTCCTTAAATTCTACTTTACATATAAATTTACTATAGATATCTTCCATTTTTGTGCCACTTTGCTTTTAGGAAAGACCTGTTTTCGCTAACCAAAAGAATCCTGAAGAGGATTTCCACTTACGAAAAGGGAAACGATCATTCATCATTGAATGTGTGGTCTGCAGAGGGCCAGTAAAGAGGCAGCGCTCTTCCTGAGCACCTTCCCCGGACCTATACTCAACATCAAGCCACCATCCCACTGAATTCTCTGTGAACACTGTGTATCAGTGCTATTTTAGGTTTTAGTCATTATTTGGTAGATTATTTTTTGCATCTAAGAAGACTAAAAAAAAAAAAAAGTTCCCACATAAATTAATGATAATTGCTTCTCTGCTTTATGCCATTTGGCTTATGACAGGTTTCATAGGAATGCTCTACTTTTGGACAGCTGAGGAAGCATGGATTTACAAGGCAAGTTTACATACACTTTACACAGTGACTCTAAAATCATCTTTACATTGTTGACTGTAAATCTTTAGCCCCCACTTTACAGATTTTAAAAATAAACTATGAGATTTACCCCAATCTAGTCAAAAGAACAGCAGAAAGTGAGAGTGCTAGTTACCTGTAACTTTTAACCTAGTAACTTCCTATGCCCACTGAATTGAGAATTGTTCTGTGTGGGCAATTCATATCATTTCCTGTTCTGACTGTAATCTGAGACCCACAGATTGTGAGATCTGCTCAGCTGGGGATCTTGTTAAAATGGAGGTTCAGATTCAGTATATCTGGGGTGTAAATGCAAATGCTCAGCAGGGCATTAAAACCAAAAGGAACTGGTAGGAAGTCCTGTCTAGAGGGCAGTCTGAAGTGCTTGCTCCTTCAGATAAACTAGTCTAAACACAATCCTCCCTAGAGAGAAACCACAAAAGATGCACATGCAAACATATTTTCCTAATCATTTGACCAGACAGGGATAAAAAAGATTATAGAAAGTGTCTTTCATGGTAAGGAGACTGACTATCCTTTCATTTCCCTTTAGAATGAATTAGCTCAGAGACTTTTGTAAGTAGCAAACATATGGAGGGTGTCAACTTTCAAACTCCAGCTGGATTAATTTGGAAGTGAGAGGGGTGAAAATGACCTTTGGGTTGTTGTCATTGTTGTTAAGTGCTGTTGCATTAGTTCCAACTCAGTGACCCTGTGTAGGGTTTCTGAGGAGCAGCTGGCTGGTGGGTTTGAACCACAGACCTTACTTGGCAGTCCAGTGTTATCCTACAGCACCGCACCAGGAGGTGGAAGGGGTGAAAATGATGTTTGGGTTGAGAACAGCAAAAAAAAAAAAAAAAAAAAAAAAAAATCTTCCACCTCTGAAAATTGAATGATGTAAAAGAATTATACTGGGCTCATTTCTGATCATTCAAAACCACAGAAAGCCAGCCTCTAAGGGACCATCCCCACAACACAGACAGACACAGACTCTCCCCCTAACCGCTCCACCTTCAGGGGCAACATCACGAAACTAAAGCAATAGACCAGGGCCCGCTGTTGTGCGTATTTGAAGGCAATATTAAACATCTACTCACCTCTCCAATTCCATGCTCACGAAGGACAAAACTGAGTGTGTCTGTTTTGGGTCCTGCTACCAAACGCAGGTAGAGTGGATGTTCCCGGTCTGAGAGCTTGCAGGCATAGACTGAATAAAGAAAAAAAGTAGCAACCTCAGGGTATTTATTTAATCATTCCCTACAGCAGTCCCCCATCCCCACCCCTCCAACTACCACTCCCTCCCTCCAGATAAAGGTGCTGTTACATGCCCTCCGGTTAATTCTAACTCATGTCAACCAAATGTGACAGAGTAGAACTGCCCCACAGGAGTCCTGGTGTGATGCTGTGGCATAATGCATCAGACTGCAAAGTCGTCTGAACTGCAAGGTCGGTGGTTCAAGTTCACCAGCTGCTCCTTGGAAACCCTATACAGGGTCGCTAGGGGTTGGAATTGACTCGATGACACTTAACAACAATCTTTAACAGAGCAGTTGGTGGGTTGAATCATTAAGCTTTCTGGTTAGGAGCCAAGCATGTAGCCATTACGCCATCAGGACTTCTGAGACAGATAATGGTAACAGCCCATAGAGCCTGTGAGTCACCATCCTCATCATCTTATAACCAGCAGTTGAAAGAAACATTCATGATTTCTACCTACCCAAGTTGACCTGTGCTTTGATTAATATGAAAATCATTTTCAAGCATAAATTTAAATGGCTGTTGTTGTTAAGTACCGCGGTGTCAGTTCCGACTCATAGTGACCCTGCACAGAGTTTCTGAGGCTTGTAAATTCTTATGGGAGCAGAACGCCTCATCTTTCTCCTGCGGAATCCGTGGTAGTTTCAAACTGCCGACCTTGAGGTTAGCAGCCTGATTCGTAACCACTACGCTACCAGAGCTCCTTAATGTGTTCAACTGCTAATCAAAAGTTTAGAGGTTCAAGTCCACTCAGCAGTGTCTCAGAACACCTCTCCTGATATACCCCCACCAAAAAAAATCAGCCATTGAAAGTCCGGAGGAGCTATTCTACCCTGACACATGACGTCCACCATGAGTCAAAGTCAGCCTGACAGTAAGCAACTGTTTAGTTTAGACCCACAATACGCTTGTGCTACTCCTTTTAGAAAGCAAGATAAGCAACTCCTTTATCAACAGTAAAAATGTATCATCAAAAGCTTGAAACCAGAGCTCTAGGAACAAATCTCTTTACAAATTAGTAATTAGAATCAGCATCCTCAAACAAACTGAGCTATCAGAACACAAGTTCTGGTTGCTTCAAGCATGGCCCCCACCCACCTCATCAGGGCTGACCCAACCTGTTGTGTTGAAAGCTTCACCAGCCATCCCACCCCTGCTACTTTGACACTCTCCCCCAAAACACCTAAATCAGTCCAATGTCATCAAGTCAATTCCAACTCATGATGATCCTACAGGACAAAGCAGAATTGTGCCTTATGGTTTCCAAAGCTGTATGTAGATCTTCAACAGAGTAGACTGCTACAGCTTTCCCCATTGGAGTTGCTGGTGGGTTCGAATCGCTGGCCCTTCGGTTAGCAATTGAGTGCTTAAAACCACTGAGCCACCAGAGATCCCAAGGGTAATATTCCAATGGGATGGTATTACTGTCAGTGTGTAGCTGAAGTTCAGGTAGCAGGTCAAGAAGGTGGCAGGATGAAAATGCCACCTGAGTCCATCTACATTACACTAGCATTTCCACATATAAAAAACACACTTGCATCTCCAGAACAAGTTCATTTGCATTGTAGGTGCAGCTTTTCCAGGAAATACAAACTTCCCTGTGCAGTTAAGCTTGTGGCTTCTTGGGCAAAGGAGCCATGGCCTCTTTGTCTTTGTACTCTGGAATTGACTCCATGGCACACAGCAATAGTCACTTACAGTGTGTGTTCAATAAGTGTTTGCAGACTCAGTTACCGGCTGGGTTTCATTTCCATGCAACTGGGGGGAAATATTCTATCATATCGAGGTTAGAATATTTTCTACTATAGCTGCTTTAGGCTTTACTCAGGAAAACTAGACCAAAAAAATAGCTATTATTCCCACATACCACTATTTAAAAATTGACACTTGTCATTAGGTGCCGTTGAGTCAGTTCTGACTCAAACCAACCCTGTACACAACAGAACGCAACACTGTCTGGTCCTGTGCCATCCTCACAACTGTTATGTCTGAGCCCACTGCTGCTGCCACTGTGTCCTTCTATCTTGTTAGGGGGTCTTCCTCTTTTTCACTGATCCCAAAGTACAAGAGACAAAGTTTCACCATTCTCACCTCTAATGAACACTCTGGCTGTACTTCTTTCAAGATAGATTGTCCTTCTGGCAGTACCGAGTGCTTTCAATATTCTTCTCCAACACCATAATTCAAATGCATTGATTCTTCTAAGGTCTTCCTCATTCACTGTCCAACTTTCATATGTATATGAGTCTATTAAAATTCCCTGGTCAGGTGCAACTTAGTCCTCAAGCTGACATCTTTGCTCTTGAAGACTTTAAAAGAGGTCTTGCGTAGCAGATTTGCCTAATGCAATATATCATTTGATTTCTTGACTGCTATTTCCATGAGTGTCGATTATGGAGCCTAGCAAAATGAAGTCTTTGACAACTTCAGTCTTCTCCATTTATCATGACACTATTGACACTTAGGGAGTAACTAAATCACTGTTGCCTACCACTGGGAACAATTTCTGCTCAACAGCCTGACCAGTAACATCTTTTTTTGTATTGATAAAATTTATATTTAGAAATAGCCAGCTGGACTCAGTTTTGTTGTTGTTGTTAAGTGCCGTTGAGTTGGTCCCGACTCATAACGATGCTGTATAGGGGTCCATGGAAGCAGACTCAGTTTAGATGATCTCAATTTTGTTGGCCACATCCAAAGCATCCTAGTCAAGAGCCAGTGGAACCTATGCCTTCTGTTCTCCATCAGGTCTGATCAAGGCGTTGGCTTGGCTACGTCAAAGTCCTAGAGCTTCTTCACAGACTGATTTGGTGCTTGTTGGCCTTGACATCCATAATGAAAACGTGTATGTTATTATCTTCAATCTTCTTCAGGGCTGACTCAGCAGTCAGAGGGAACTTGATAATGACATAGTGGTCAAGCTTGTTTCTGTTGGGGGCGCTCTTTGGAGGATATTTGGGCTGTCTTCTGAGCCTCAATGTCTTGGGCAGTTGGGAGGTGGGTGATGCGAGGATGTTTTCTTTTGTGGCTATAGACGCCTTTTAGCACTGCCTTTTTGGCCTTCAATGCCTTTGATTTGGCTTCAGTTTTGGGAGGGGCAGGGGCTTCCTTCTTCACTTTCTGCAGCACCTTTGTTACAAAAACCTGGCTTGGGATATCTTACTTATTTGTTGTTATTGTTAAGTGCCATCAATCCAGTTCCAACTCACAGTGACTCTGTATCAGGTTTCCAAGGGGCAGCTGGTGGGTTTGAATTGACAACCTTGTGGTTAGCAGTCCAGGCTTTATCTTACAGTGCCACACCAGGACTCCTGAAAGCATGCTGTTATTAGTGCTATCAGTCAGTTGCAACTTACAGAGACCCTGCAAAACGTTTCCAAGGAGTGCCTAGTGGATTTGAACCACCAACCTTGGAATAGCAGTCCAGTGCTTATCCGTCAGCACCAATATTATTCAGTATCATGCAGTAATTTATATTTTATTTCTAGCCATTGAATGCAGGTATTAAGTCCAGACAGACCCCCAAATCAAAATATTATTCATCCAGCTTGAGGTGTCTCTGGGGGGGCAGGGTGCCAAAATGTCCCAGTGTTAACACCAAGCAAGCTAAGGTGAGGAAACAAAGCACCCAGGGCTGCACCATTTACGTCACTCAGTCTGAGATATGCTATGTCACACACATGTCTTCCCATCCTCGAGGTCTCAGAGACACAAGCCCACCAAAACCACCCAGCTCAGACACTGGTCAGATGTGGAACGTGCTACTGAAAACTCCCAAGACAAAGCCATTCGTTTTTGCCTATATGAACATTAAAACCAAAGCTACACTTCCACTCCCCACCCATCTCTCAAAAAAACCCCACAAAGCTCCCTACACATTACAAAACCTTCCATAAATGCCTATCACAGGTGGGTGTCTTTGTGCACCCTCAACTGCTCAAACTGAAAACATGGACAGCCAGGGATGTCCCGATCAGAATCAGTCCCCCCATCAGAATCAGTCCCCCTGACTCTGATAAAATGGATACACTCATAATTTTTCCTTCTACAAAAAGAAAAAAGGACAAAAGGTACACATAAAAGCAGCAACTTCTTTCAGTTTAAGCATGATGTTATACCTTGATCTTCCCTGTGACAACGCTTATAAAGTGCAAACTTGGCAGGGCTATCAGTCACAAGGAACTTCTTGAGCAGGGCCTCGATCACTTCCCCAACAGTGTTTGTGCTGCTGATGTGAAGTGTGTTCATACAGTCATTGCAACTGGGAGCGAGCTTTCCAGGATTCTGAGAAGTCTGTGGAGGTCTGCAGAGTTCCATCTGCACTTTAATGAAGCCAGTGTAAATCCCATTTGAATTCTGAAGAGAGAAGAAAAGCACACACTTAGATGAACTGAGAATGGCACTGTAGGGGAAGGGAGTGTCTTCATATCTTACTTACCATTGCTGTAACCGAAATACCACGTGTAAGTAGCTTTCATGAGTAAGAATGCATTTTGTTACAGTTTAGGAGACTAGAAGTCTGAATTCAGGGTGCTGGCTCTAGGGGAAGGCTCTCTCTGGGGAAAATCTTTGCCTATCTTGTTTCTCTATCTAGCCCCTGTGTTCCTAAGTTCCTTGGCGATCTCTCCAAGTGGCATCCGCCTTTCCCCAATTTGTGCTTCCTAGCTTCTCCGTGTCTAATCTGCTTTTTTAATATTTCAAAAAGGATTAGGTTGAAAACACACCCTACACCAGTTGGCAACATCAACATAACAAAGAAAACCAAAATTGGATTGCACCCACAGGGTTAGGGTCCCAACCTATATTTTGGGGTGATGGACACTTAACAATAACAACAATAATTCAGGCCATAACATGGAATCTGAAACAAAACAAATCAGGAAGGTGAAACAGTCTTTCTCTTGTTCTTTACTTTCACAGCTTTGTGGCTGAGCTGCATCAAGGATTTCCCCTAAAGTCATGACCCCAGAGGGAGAAAAACACCTCCCAGAGAAAGTGCCTCCAAAAGCCAGGTCTGTAGGGCTGCTCTGGTGACTGAGGATGCCTCCTGACAACTCATGTCTTTGCAGCTAAGTGTGAAAGGTCAAGGCCCAGATGTGAGGGTACAACTTTCTTGGAACCGATGCTAGCCAAACCACAGAGTTTATTTAGGCTTGGGGAATATGTCTGATGACTAACTAGTACACAAAAAAGGGAAGGTCATAATTATGACTGTGAAATACCTAAGTAAAGAATGAGCCAATAGTAAGAAAATAGGTTATTTTCATTTCTAGTGGTTATTATGATATGTAAGTAGCCATGATAGATTACAAATTTGATTTATACTTTTTTTTGCATTTCATATGAGGGAACTTCAAAAAAGCTAGTGGAAAATGGAATGAAAAGACAATGGATTTTTTCCACGAACTTTCTGAAGCCCCCTTGTATATCGTCTATCACCTTGGACTCATAATGATGCATGTTTCAGGCATCTCAAGCAACAACATAGAGATACAGATCTATTTTAATTGGCTATCTATATGAATCCACAGATAGTAGAAGTATTTGTTCTAATTTATGACAGAAGCACAATTTTGTGAGTTGCCAAAAATCCTAATAAGTGATCTTGTTTCCATTTGTTTTTTACATTCCATATATTAGGGGGAAAAGTCATTGTAATGCTTTATAAATACAAATCCTCAGGTGTTATAAATGACAGTTAAACGTAGACCATTAAAAACTTTTTTCAGCTCATTATTTTTTGTCTCCGAAAGACCAATTTACAATACTAATTCACTTGTTCATTCTTATAGACATTATTGTGCAATACTTAAAAATTTTGTGTTAGAAACAATATGGAAATGTATCTGTTTTAATCTCTGTAGGGGGAGGAAGATCAGGGCAAACAGATTTTCTCTCTTGATTAAAAAAAAAAAAGTGTATGAAAAAAGGAGAAATATCACCTGTGGAATAATGAGGAATAAATCTGACCGTTCCCCATCTATGGTGGAGCCCCAATAGGTTAAAGAAAAGATCCTTCAACACCAGGTTCACAGAATTGAGCAGAGTCTGTTTCAAGCAGGCTGCCCTGTCCTTTGCTGAACTCTGTCAACTCAGAAAACAGACTGAGCGGTCGTGGTCCCAGGGCCCTGGAAACTGGCACCATATGGGAGGTCACCAAGTGGGCGGGGCGAGGCACAGACATGAATACTCTATCTTTGTTGTCAGCTCTTGTTTCATGGTCCCCAAGCCCTGTCCTCTACTCCCTCCTACACCTTCACTCCCCACTGAGCTTCTAACAGTGTGGTAGATTGTTGTGGAAACCTGTAACAACAATGGGTAGGAAGCTGAATGTTACACACCTCAGCTTACACTGACAACCAGCTGACAAAATCCCAGCTCAATGATATTCTATCCATGAGCTCAAAGCCCTTTTCTTAATGCTTTCAAATTTATTTACACGAGATACATCTCTGTGCTCTTTAGAATCTGAGCTAGTACGTAAAAAATACACATGCATACATATACATGGGGGCTTCAAAAGAGCTTGGAAAAATATCTTTTACTTCCATTTTCCCACAAACTGTTGAACACACACACTAAACGGGCAACAATTACATTCAATGTTGGGCATCTTTTTAAGGCCAACCCAGCAACTGATTTTTAGATAAAAGTATTTCTAAAAATAGACTTAATTTGAAAGATGCAGAAGTAGTCCATTTTCTTTCATGTATACTTTGACCATGAAACCTATGCAAATACTATCCAGAGACTTAAAAAGATACAAACTGTAGTATCAGGAACTTATATTTGTCTTTTAACAATTATCAGCTGGAATAGTAATGTGAGTGCTTACCAAGGTCATCTTCAATTTGTCTGTGACTGCTAAATTGTATTTATGAATCTTCTCCTTGATTTCCTCTTTACTGAGGTAATTGTGGGTTTCCTTCTCTTTCTCCACATCCTAAAAGAAAACAAGTCATACCACACATGAGCAATCCTACAAAAACAAATGCAGATATAAGCCAAGGTTTTTTTTTTTTTTTACATTCCACACAAGAGCAACGTTGGTGCATTTTACATTGAACCACACCTACACACACATACACACACACCCTCCTCTCTTTCAAACTCCCCAAGCTCACTCACAAATTATGGGTCATTTTCTTTTAGGATTATGCTATTCGTGGGTGTGGCGGTAAATGTTATGCGTCAACTTGGTTAAGCTATGAGTCTTTGTGCCTTGGCAGACTCTGGACTGATCGCTCTTCCATAACGTAAATGTAATATAATGAAATCATCCTCCGTTCTGTGATCTGATGTGAGCAGTCAATCAGTTGAAATCCAATCCATTTCTTGTGGGTGTGGCCTGTATCTAATATGAAGGGGCTTCAAAAAGTATGTGGAAAAATGAAATGAAAAGATAATGAAACTTTTTAACCAACTTTCTGAAGCCCCCTCTTTTGTGGCTGTTTGTCCAGGCTCACTATCTTGATCCTGCATCTGACTTGTCATCCTCTAATCTCTGGTTCTTGGGACATGAGCTTGTCAGCTGACCTGCTGATTTTGGTTCGTCAACCCCACTAAAGCCGTATAAGTTGGGAGAAGCCTCCAGCCTGACACCTGATCCATGGATTTGGGAATTGTTGGCCTCCACAACTGTGTGAGCCATCTCCTTGGAATAAATCTCTACGTATACAGAGCTTCAAAAAGTTCATGGAAAAATTCCATTATCTTTCAATTCCATTTTTCCATGAACTTTTTGAAGCTTTCCTCATTACCTGCTTCACTGGTTTTGCTCTTTTAGAGAACCCAGCCTGAGACACTGGGGGATACAGCAAATAAAATTGAATTGTCAGCAACTAAAAGCAGGCCTTCATTTAATATTTTTAAAAACTGTCTTGGGAAATTTCCCTTTTACAAAACACCAGTCCCTCAGAGTACCCGCTCAGCTGGCCATTTCTATTTTAAACAATATTTAGACACATATCAAATGTTTTCTCTCTCTATTAACTTGATAGTGTTTGACTTTACATTATTTATCATCAAGAAGCATGGTTTAAAAAATAAAACAAGAAACAACACACCACTACTGAGTCAATTCTAGTTCATAGCAACCCCACGTGTGTCAGAGTAGAACTGCATTCCAGAGATTTTTCAATGGCTGTAATCCTGTGGTGTTGGGGAACTGGACTGGCAACTGCAAGGCCCACAGCTTAAACCCACCAGTCGCTCTCTGAAACACTTTACAGGTTGAGATTGAGTCGGAACTAACTCAACAGCAACCCTTATGGAAGGGTTCCCTGGGTAATGTAAATGGTTAAGCACCCAACTACTAGCTGAAAGGCTGTCAGTTAAACTCTGGTACCTTGGAAGACAAGCCTGGAGATCTACTTCCCAAAGCGCACAACCTTGGAAACCCAATGGATCTGTTTTCTGCACATGTGAAATCACCATGAGTAGGAATCCACTCTACAGCAACTAACCACCACCACTCTATAGGAGTAAGATAACCACAGCATTCCTCCATGGTGAAACTGAGTAGATTCAAACCACCAACCTTCTGGTCAGTAGTCAAGTGCAAACCATCTGCATCACCCAGGGCCCTAAAAAGCATGGTACAAAACCAAATCAAACCCAATGTCATTGATTCAGTTCTGACTGTCAGAGACCATAACTAAATAAGAGAAGGAGGTAGTCTTTGTTTCTACATTCACTTTCAAGTATTAATTGTCCAGAGATTTTTTCAAGCACACACTAAAACATTCACAATGAGAGACTGAGAATTTCACAGATGTGGGGTGTGAAGCTGGCAGGGCGAAAGCATGCTTGATAGTGTTAGCATTCCACCAAGATTCGGGTTCTATTCCAAGTGGAGTGTGTCTCACCACTAGCCCCAGGCCCTGGGGCTTACTAAGCTTATGCATGTTTCTTGTCAAATGAAGGGACTAAACCAAAACAGAGATCCACAGCCACGGAGTCAATTCCAACTCACAGCAACTCTATAAAGGATTCAGAAAGTATACATCTTCACAGGAGCGGACCTCCTCAATTCCTCCCCTGGAGCACCTGCTGGATTTAAACTGTCAACCTTGTCATTAGCAGTCCAAAGCTTAACCCACTGCACCAGTGCTTCCTGGTCTAATAGGATCTAACTGCAAAGATCTAAGGTTGCTTTCACTGTTGTGACCAATGGGGCAAGAAATCAGAGAAACCAAGGCAAATCCATGAAACGGATGGCTGCACATATATAATAGTATACTCACTACCACCCTGTTTGTCAGACTGTGATCGACTCCAAGCTATGATGATGGATGCTACGCAGTCAGTATTTCAAATACCAATAAGGTCACTTATGGTAGACAGGATTCTCAGGGCAGCTTCCTAACTAGAAGAAAAGTCAAGAGATGTACTTACAAAAATTAGCCAATGAAATTCTCAAAGATCACAACAAAACCCTGTCCAACTTGCTTGCTTTGGGAGGGAAGTAGACCCTTGGTGAGATGGATGGGCAGAAGCTGCAACTTCAGATGGACTTGAACCTGCCAGTGACCCTGAGGGTGATGCCAGAAACCTTTCATTCTGCGGTACTTGGAGTTGCCTATTTAGTTTATTAGACTTAACACCGTCCTATTCCCCCTCACATCAGCAGATCAGAAAAAAACAGTCCCAGAGGCTTTAGGGGAAAATTAAACTGTGCTAAAAAGAGAAACTTCCCCGGATGATGTTGTAACATGTTGTTAAGTGCCGCTGAGTCGATTCCAACCCATAGTGAACCTGTATAGGGTTTCCAAGGAGCTGCTGGTGAGCTTGAACCACCAACCTTGCAATTCAAATGACTTTGCAGCCTGACGCATTAGCTTACAGTGCCACACCAGAACTCCTGAGACATGCTCACCTAACAATTATGTTTCCTACTCAGATTCAAAACCCAAGGAAACTGCAGGGAGCAGTAACAGAAAAGAATCCACATAGAGCCCTCCTAGGCTAAATATGTGCTGACTAAAAGAACAGTTGGGCAGTAAGTTTCAGGGATCAGCTACCACCGAAAGCCTGTATTTTTCAGTCCACTAATTAACAATCCTAATCAGGATACAGGCTATAGTCTGTTCATTCAACAAATATTTGCCAAGTTTCTGCAGCATACCAGACACTTGCCCAAGCCTGGGATCTAAGATTGAACAGGGCAGACATCACCCCACCCTCCTGGTACTTACTATCAATCACAGGCTTAGTATAAGAGAGGAATGAAGGAGAAAAAAAACTCCTTTAAAAATGAGAACTTGGCACCATTTCTCTGAGTGAGGGGTCTGGCAGTAGAGGGAACAGGCACAGAAGTCACAAGTCCCGGCCTTGGGGCAGAAAACATGGATTGCATTTTGTTGGGACTGGATTATTGTTGTGAAGTGCCATTGAGTAGGTTCTGAATCACAGAAACCCTGTATAGGGTTCCCAAGAAGAGGCTTGTGGGATTGAACTGCCAAACTTGTGGTTAGCAGTCCAGTGCTTATCTTACAGCACCACACCAGGACTCCCAAAGCTGAATTTGTTGTTGGTGGTGGTGGTAAGTGCCGTCGAATTGGTTCTGACCCATAAGGTTTCTGAGGAGTGGCTAGCGAGCTTGAACCACTGACCTTGCAGTTCAAACCGATTTAGAAGTCCAGTCTATTAACCCATAGCGCCACAACTTGTTGTTGTTAAGTGCCGTCGTGTTGGTTCCAACCCATAGTGACCCTGTATAGGGTTTCCAAGAAGCAGCTGGTGAGCTTGAACCACCAACTTTGCAGTTCAAACAGCTTTGTAGTTCAAACACAGTGCTACACCTAGAGACGTTTACTTTGGAAAACTGCTAAGCTGTTTACCCACCCCTTTCCCTTCCTCTCACACAGAAAAGACTCCTCCAGTCTTCTCTCTAAATACACTGAATAATGTTGTGAGTCAGGTATAGGCTCATGACAACCCCATGCACAACTGACAAGGGAGCCAAACACTGCCCAGTTCTGCACCAAGCTCATGAAGGCTGCAGCTCAGACCACTGTGCTCCACAGGGTTTTCACTGGCTGATCTTCAAAAGCAGATGGCCGAGTCTTTCTTTCAGGCCCATCTTGGCCTGGAAGCTCCACAGCTACCTGCTCAGCATCCTACCAATACCACAGCCTCCAATGAGAGGCAAATGGCTCTGCATAGACACACTGTCAGGAATCGAACCCAGATCTCCCACGTGGGAGGTTGAGAATTTTATCATGGAACCACACCACTGTCCCCACATGGGAACTACAGCCTTTGGGAATACAGTTGCACTAACAGGAAAGCAAGAGAGAAGAAAACAGAGACGACAGGTGCAAAGAGTGGAAAAGCAAGGACTGTGAAGTTAAAAAAAAAACAGTGTGGTGGGTGTGGAATAGGGAAAACAGAATATTCACATGAATCTTTCATTGTGATGGTGAAAGGAGGAAGTGGCATGGGTGCAGCAGTTGGTGAATAATACATGGCGTATTGTTCTTGGCAGATGGTAAGGGTGTGAGGGCGCACTTCAAAGTGTCCATTTGTTAAGCTACAAGCCATCTTTTTATAACTCACTTTCATTTTATATTACCCAAACCCTCAAAAGAGTTCTTTCCAAGTACAATTATAAAGCACAGATTCTTGTTTCATGGTTTCATCCAACAAGTCCTCAGAGTTGCTCTTGGGTTAGCTGCAGTTCCTGGGTGGGGTCATATCACTGTGTGGTTTTCGGTTTTTGTTTTTGTTTTTCTCATAGGGAACATACCCTAGAGACACAGGGGTCCTCATGCAGCATGGAGGAGCCGGGACTGATCCTGTCTCAAAGCAGACTTTCCAAGAATATGTCCCTACCAATCTAGGAGTCTTGGTGTGGTGTTGTAAGATAAACATTGGACTGTTAACCGCAAGGTCGGTGGTTCAAACCCACCAGCGGCTCCTCAGAAACCCTATACAGGGTTG